TGTACTTAAGATAGGATTTACAATATGGATTAGACAATAGTTGTCTTGTTGAGCATGTAAGATTCTTCTTGATAATAAATCATTTGTGATTAAGAGAGTCTTGTAAGATGCTTTGTCAACCGACATATTTGTTTGGCAGTAATCGTCGGTTGGCTTCGCATCTTAATCGTGGATTCACATAAATTTGCAATTTATGCAAAATTATTGCTGATTTACAATTTGAAAAGTAATTCAGTCGTATTAGAAAGTTTTTTATATCGAACGATCGTTCAAAAGTGATCAAATTGATATACGGATTATTAGGATACATTTCGAGGAATTCGAAATAAAAAAAGAATTCAGAAAAATTTAATATATAATTATAATATATTATATTATAATAATAATAATATATAATTAATTCAATATTTAATATATAATAATTATTCTTTTAAGATTATTCTTTTATATATCTTTTATTTCTAACTCACTTTCTATTTTTTACTATTGAAATTCTCCCTTTTCCGAAAATAGAACAAAAATTTAATCGTACGATAATATATACAGGTTTGCTTAAGATGGAGAGACATTCTTTACGCGCGGCCTCGACTTTGGGCAGGCTTGGTACCCGTAGTAAGATGTCGTGAAGTACGTGCCATGCCTTCTACTTCACGCACGCGACTCTACGCCTCCTTAGTTAGAAGAGGATTTCATTCGTTGGTTCTTCTCGGAGCATCGGACGAGGATATCCCGGAACTGACGCACGGCTTTCCATTAGCGCAAAGAAATATTCATTCATTGTCGTTGAGATGTTGCGCGGTGACCGACAGGGGACTAGAAGCTCTCTTAGATCATTTACAAGTACGTAATATAAATTAAATTCGAAGAAATATGTAATATACTTCATTACAAAATATCATTTATCTTTTGATTCCAGAGATAAAATAGCGAAAAGATTTTATCTTATGTAATGTTTAACCAGTAATCAATCGAATAGATTTCCTCAAGAAAAGACCTGATCTCAATTAAAACAATCAGAATTAGAAATGAATTTTCTTCAATTTTCAAGATCGAAAAATAAATCGTTAGATATAAGTTATCATTCCATAATTTTATGACCTTGAAAAAAAATTTTTTTTCATCGTATTACCTTTTTTTTTTTTAACTTTTTATCGACTTTTATTTTTAGTTTCTCGTAAGTTCTCTATATAGGGTGACTCAACGTATCAATCAAGTAGGAAATGATTCTACAAAAATAAGTCGAAAAGGAAAAATGAAATATTTATATTTAAAATTTTGTTTCCGAGTAATTAAATATTATTCTTTGTATATATTATTTACATCACGTATTAATAGATTATGATTATTAAAAATTAAAATTACGCGTTTGCAAACAACTTTAACAAAATATTTTTCTTATGGATATTTCACCTCCTTCAAAATTTTTACCATACAATATCTAATTCTTTTTCCCATACTTTCAGGCGTTGTTCGAGCTTGAACTAGCAGGTTGCAACGAAATAACGGAAGCCGGCTTGTGGACTTGCTTAACACCTAGAATAGTATCGCTCTCCTTGTCGGATTGTATCAATGTGGCTGATGAAGCCGTCGGTGCTGTCGCTCAATTACTGCCGAGTCTCTACGAGTTCTCGTTGCAAGCTTATCATGTAACCGACGCCGCCCTTGGATATTTTCACGCAACCCAGAGTAGCTCCCTTAGCATCCTCAGGCTGCAATCCTGCTGGGAACTCACTAACCATGGTATAGTCAATATTGGTAAGGAATCGTTCTTTTTAATTTTTACTTAACTCATTAATTCAATATCTATAGATAGATGAGAAATTTGGTTGTAAAGCAATTATGTTATGTGAAACCGTGAAATGTCTAGAAAGTAAGTAATGGTCTATATATATTCAGAGAAAGAATTGTTTAAGATCTCCTCGATATTTTGAATAGCTGCACGCCTCCATCTAAGTGGATGAAAATTAATTAGACATTCAAACGTGTCACATAAAAATTCTCAAGAATATCCGGATTGTTCCTACTATTTTATTAATATTGACTTTTATTATCATAATAGTTGTTATAATAATATTCATTGTAGAATATAATTTGAAAAGATATGCGAACGATTATTCAAGACGCGGAAAAGCGGGACAGTTACGACACCGTTCTCCCAGGATCCAGGTAGAAATAATTCATGATGACGATAGTGTGAAATTAAGATAAGTGGTCCACGCATTCAACCATTATAAATTTAGAATTAAGAAACTTTATTTAGCTTTCATGCTGTCACCAACAGCTCAGACTCACGCTCCTAGATGAGTAAAACATAGACAATTCGAGGACAACGACCGATTGTCGTTATTTATACGATAGCTTTCGTATTGGTCTAAAAAAGAAAACAAGACGTAGCTAAGAAAATGAATCATTTATTTTTTTCGTTTTATATTCCAGTACATTCCTTGCCCAATCTGACTGTCCTATCGTTGTCCGGATGCAGCAAAGTAACGGATGACGGTGTCGAATTGATAGCAGAAAACTTGTCCAGGCTTCGTTCATTGGATCTGAGCTGGTGCTCGAGGATCACCGATGCCGCCTTAGAGTATATCGCCTGTGATTTGAATCACTTAGAGGAGCTTACTTTAGACAGGTGAGAATTGATAATAAGAAGAGACATCCAACCACGAGCAACGAACAATCGTTTTATTTCTTTGCATTGCTCTTTTTTTAAATCGTGTTAACGAAATCGTAGCGTGATCCACCATCGTAGTGTGTTTAGACCGTGGTGAATCCATACGATCCATTCATGTTCTAAATACTGAACACGTTAACGAGCGTTTCTATTTACGATCAACTATTATGCAATGCCAGGATGAATCAGCGATTGTAAACGCATTCAGATGTTTAAAGACAGTATTTCCTATAAGCGTCAAATATATGTTTGTGCATGTTAAATCTTTCAAATATAAGATATTGTATTTAATGCTGCAATTATAGAAAAAGTTTATTTGTAAAATTAATTTAATATAATATAACTGGATTCAATGTAAAAATTAAAAAAACATATTTTTCTTTAAAAAATTAATAATAATTGTTTTCATTTGAAATATATATTTATAAATCATATATGTATCAATCATATATGTACTTTTAAGATAAACTTGGAATCAGACGATTTGAGTTCAATCATCGTTTTCATATACATATCAATATATTATATATTTTAAATTGATTGACAAAACGAAACCATACTTTATGAATAATTGGATAAAGGAAAAATCTTATACTAATTAATTTCTTAATAAAAATATTATGAGTTTATTTTTATTTTATATAATAATATATCTTTTATAATTATGCTATAAATCTGTAAAAGATGTATGATATTTAGAAATTGAGTTGAAATAGGAAAATATCAAAAAAGTCAAAAAGAAACAAAAATGGAAAAATTTAAAAGTTCTATATTTAAGGAGAAATTCAAAAGTGAATAGTTTATTAAACTCTTTTTTCTTCTCCTCATATAGATGTGTGCACATCACAGACATAGGCGTGGGCTACATTTCCACAATGGGATCATTGAGCGCATTGTTCTTGAGATGGTGCATTCTACTTAGAGACTTTGGACTTCAGCACTTGTGCGGCATGAAATCCTTACAAGTACTCTCTGTGGCAGGTAAGATCAAACTAAGACTTACCCTATATGATGTGCATTATATTGCACATCAAAATTTAAAATATGAGCCTTTTCTTTAAAAAGTGAACAATCAATGATCTTATATTAAGCTATAAAAAGAATCAGAAAGAAAAATATTTTTAAAAAATTTATTTAGAATTTTATATACATATAAATAAATAATATAGAATGAAATGTTAAAAAATATAAATTTTCCACAGGCTGTCCATTGCTCACAAGTAGCGGATTATCCAGTTTGATTCAGCTTCGACATTTACACGAATTAGAGCTAACCAATTGTCCGGGAACATCTCAGGAATTATTCGATTATTTGCGTGAACATCTGCCCCGCTGCCTAATCATCGAATAAATTATGCTACTGTAGAAACAACAGGCAACAGTCCTAGTAATATTTTTGCGTTCCAATTCAGAAAAGTTTCTATTTCTATAGAATGTGATGGCAAAAAAATTTTATGTAAAGCAATACTTAGACAAGGATACGACGATTGTATTTATGTATAAGAGGAGCTGATGCGAATGCAGATATAAGAAAGAAGCAATTGACGTCCAAACTTGAACACTACCGCATATTATTGTTCTCTCTTGTAACGGTAAAGGGTATAAAAAAAAAAAAGAAAAAAAGAAACACTAGCCTTTAAAAACATGCAAATGTTAACACTAAGATAGCATGTAGACATTTTTAATACACCAGAGCTCCTATATGAATCGCACTCCTTTTTCGCCGATGTTTAGAACTTTAGACCGAATTGTACGGTTCGATTCGTTTATTGTTATTTTTGTTTTTCGTTTTTTTTCGTTTTAAAAATGTTTGAAAAAAGATATGAAAAAAAAAAAAATGCAAAAACATATTCGCCTCTCGGTAACTTGATAATCTGTACAGACTTTTACACAAGTCCCCGCTTGATAATAGAAACTAAAGAAAAAAACAAACGAAGAGACAATTTAATTATAGTAGATTCTTGTTAAAAAGAAGAAAAAAGATAAAAAAAAATAAAAGAACGTAGAGATTATCCGACGAGACGACAGACTCAACAGTTAGAACTGTGATAAATTTTTATTATATGTATATCATTCTACTTCAACTATGTTTAGGGCGTTGTTTAACCCGCTTCAACGTTCAAATGTGCGTGATTATTAAAAAAAAAAAAAAAAAAAATTAGTCGCATTGCTTTTTGAAGAAAAAAAAAAAACAAACAAGTTACTATTTTAGAAATATCATTAAAAAAAAAATCAACAACAAAAGAAAAGAAAAAAAAATCAGAAAAACATTCCGGTTGTGCGTTAATGAATATTTTAATTTTGCAAAACATTATTCTGCGAATTTTGATTTATTCGACGATGTATTTGCTAAATAAATGAATGAAAGAAAAAAGAGAAAAAAGACAAAAAATCATTGCACATATATGTATTGTCTAGAAGAAAAGAAAAGTTTTTAACTTATATTTTACCTATGTATATTCTGCTGTCAAATAATGTTAATGTTTCCTACATTTAAGGCTTACATCTAGCTAAGTTTTCAAATGTTTTTTCATTAAATGTAATAATATATCGCAATATAGAAAAAAAAAAAAACGTGTTTTACGTGTTTATCTATTTCGATGGTTATTTAAAATGAATCAGTGTCAGACAAATACTATGCATCTATTCCATGTCAGCACATAAGATATCAGAAGGGAATTATTCGCCACTATTGTAATTAAATAAGTGCAATATTTTTTATGTTGAGACTTGCACTACCAAATAATTTCTGTGTAACAGTTCAACATGACCTCGACTTCTATTTCTAATCTCAAACTGAAATTATTTTTTGCGTGTTATTAATATGTTTAGCACATAAAGTCTTTGTATATACTGTACAAATATACAATTAATGATTCTGTTACCAATCAAAACTAAATATATAAATATATTCGCACAGTCGAAATTCTATCTGAGATCTGATTGCATGAGGTTCGAATCACGGATTATAAGAGTGATATATAATAACATGATGGAATGTGCTGTGAATAAAAATTTATTGATCTGAATTTATTTTTGTATTCTTAAGTATTTTCCCACCATGTAAGCAATCCAAGACCTGGTTCATCAATAGCACCCTAGAATATAGAATTAAAATAATTATTAATTTTAAATCAAAATTAAATCATTTTATATGATGATATCAATGATCGATATTTTCATAATATTTCTAAAGTAAAAATACATACTCCTAAAGTATATGGAGATATATTTTTAGCTTCTGATGTTTCAGTCTCCCCAGATATATTTGGTCCTGTAGGTAAGGCTTCTGTAAATGTTTCACTTACTACTCTGAATCGTATAATTTCTCCTAAAATTTATGCATATATCAATGTATATATTTTTGTTTTATATAATTGAAACTTTTTAAAATAATTTACCTGCATCCATAAATAAATCATGTTTTTCACCATCTCCTGTATCATATTCCCATACCCATGCTTGTTCCATTTGATCAAATCTTGATGGATGTTGCAATTTGTGAGGTGGAATCACAATATCTTCAAAAAATCCTAATGTTACTGTAAACAAAAGTTTAATGATAAAAAAAATATAAATTGAAGTATAAATAATAATATTATATGTAAATATTACCATGGACACCATCAATGCTACAACTACGTATTTTTCCTATTAATATTTCCTCCATAAATGGACGGAATACAATATAACGAAATACTACTTTGGTATGAGATGCACCATCGCCGGGAAAAATATATGATTCTTCAATTTTCGTAATGTCATGAAGAGCAATACAAAGGCCAACATTAAGATAAACCTTTAATCAGTAAATTAATAATTTTATTTGATTCTATTAATAAAATTATGTCATAAAATTTAAATAAATTGTGATATTTTACCTTATTAGCTAACTTTCTATTAAGTTCATCTGTAATAGCATCGTTCAATTTTTGCTTGAATTCCACTGGTGGAATCCTAACTGTGTCTTTCAATTCCGCAAGAACAAACATTAGTCTACTATAAAACAACAAGTAATTTTAAAGTATAAAAATAATTAATATTTATTGTATTAATTCACTCTCATATATCTATATTGGCAAATATACGAATGTAAGTATATATGAATATATTTTATCAAAAATATATTGCGTGTTTTCGTATCGAGTATAATGTGCAACGAAGAAAACTGCATTATTGTCAATATAACCTCTAATACATGTGCTTTAAGATGCTTCATTTAAGTATGAAAAAAAAACTAGATATTTTAGATTCTACTCAATATTTTATCATATAAATATTTGAGATGAAAAATATATATATATATATATATATATACATATACATGTACATATATATATAAAATGTAGTACATATATATTATAATATTAAAAAACGAAAATTGTTTGTTTATATTATAAATATTTAAGAATATTATTCGTAATTTAAAAAAGATTTTTTTTTTAATAGAGAAAGGATGGATAGCAAAGATATTGTTAATTCAATTCTAGAAAATAATACAGAAGAGAAAGATACCCGAACTACAATAGTAAATAAAGATATAGAAGTTGAAACAGACTTAGGAACTCTTTTAGCATTAGATTACAACAATTTGGACTTAAAAGCAATAAAGTAACCTTTTCTTATAATATACTTTATTTTTAGAATGATTTATATATATATTTTTAATTAGCTTATTTTTTATAGGTCACAGCCTGAAGAATATTTAAAAAGTTTAACAAGAGATAATGTGCAAATATTGATTAATAAAATTTGGGAACTTCCAACAGAACGTATTGATGAAGTAATAGTAGCAAAATTACCTAAACAAAAATTTATATTACCAAGATCTCGTAAAATTCCAAAACCTAAACCTTTAACAAAATGGCAACAATTTGCTAAAGAAAAAGGTATTAAATCTAAAAAAAAAAGTAAATCTAAACTTAAATGGGATGAAGAATTACAGGTAAATTACTGATTTTATTTATATTAAAATAAGTTTATTGATATATAAATAAATATTCATTTTATTTTGATACAGAAATGGATACCTACATTTGGTTATAAACGTAATAAAGCCATAGAACAAAAAGAATGGTTGGTAGAAGTTAATGATGAAGGTAAAGCCATAGAAGATCCATTTACAGCTGCAAAGATAGCTAAAGAAGAAAGAAAGTCTAAGAATGAATTACAGAGATTACATAATATTGCCAAGACAAAAAATATAAAAATTCCTAAAGTAGGACTTCCTACTAAAGAACATTTTTCTGATTCACAACAACTTTCACAAGCTGTAACTATTGCACGTACATCAACAGCATCTCTTGGAAAATTCCAAGATAGGTATATATTATATCATTAAAATGTTATAGAATTAAATTTATATATTTACATATATTTAATATGTGATACTAGATTACCAAAAGAAAAAGATGCAAAAGGGATTGCCAAACAAGTTCCAGGTATGAAAAGAAAAGCTGAAGAAATTCCTAAAAATTTACAAGAAGAAAAAAAACGGAATACTAATCTGGCAGATAGTATTTTGAAGAGTAATACTAAAATTCTTCATGAAGACTTTTCTGTACCAAAGTATGTTTTCATTCTTTATAAAATTAATTAATATAAGAAACACTACGTAATCAAATATATTTAAATTTTAGAACAAAACCAATTAAAGCAGATAATAAAAAAAATAAAAAAGGGACAAAAGCCAAGGGAGCAAAAAAACCAAAAGCAGGTAAAGGTCAACGAAATATGAGACTTAAAGTTGGAGGTAGAAAACGAAGATAAAATAATAAATATTCAAATTTATTTGTTTAAATTTTAATTATCGTAATTTACAAAGTTAATCTGAAATATATGATAAATATATAATAAATATACAATAGTGAAATAAATATTATTCATACAAAAAATTTTGTGTTTAAAATTTTATAATTTCTTTTTAAATAATTATATTTTCGAAGTTTTGAAAGAAAAATTTCAATATTGATTCAAAGTAAATAAGTTGAACTTATATTATATTTTTATATTTAAATCATATACGATTTATAGATAACTAAAATCACGTATTAAAAATGTAAACTATCATTTAACAATAATTAAAATAATAATATTTGTAATAGAAATAACATATATGTGATGAGATATATGTAAAATGAAAAATATTCTACTTTCTCTTAAACTTAAAAAATAAGATAGAATAAGGTAAACATATAATGATACTAAGATGAAATAAAATAATAATATATTCTAGAAATAAAATATAATTAAAATATAAACTTTATGTACCAAAATAAAATTAATCAAAGATAAAATACAGTCTATATTGTGTATTCTAATGAATTTTAATTAAGCTTGATTAAATAATCATAAATAAAATGAAAGGATAATTACAAGTCGATAAGGCAGGTTGTCCCTTAGCCACAGAATCAGGGTAATGCGAGAAAGGTGAAAGGTCAAAAGCAGTACGGGATATCGACTCGGAGAAGTCGAGAGAGCGAGGTAACCTGGTAGCGGGTGTAAGGGAGGGTAAGTGCAAAAGCGGGTTGCCCTAGAATCTGTAAGGGGTTCCACCCCACATGTGATTTTATACGTATTGTATATGTGTACACGTTCAATGTTATCTAAACGAAATACAAACGCATTAAGATATCTTGCGCAATCTATATGTTGAAATAGTAAATACGTTAGATTCCTGAATTTTATTTAAAATTGCAATTCTGTTTACTCATTATAATTTCAACATTTTATTTAATATTGTATAAAAAATATTAAATAATAAATTTCATTGAATTTAATATATCGTTGTAAGAGAAATAAGGGCACATGGTTGAAAGCACAGCAGTACGACAATATATGTATGTAATATTTCAGATCGGAAATATATTATTTAATTTATATATGTTATTTAGATACAATATCATTAAATTTCGATATACAATATTATTTAGAACAATAATTAAAATCCATAATTTTATTATAAATTATGATTATGTACATGTATATATATAAGTATATGAAAGATGCATAAAAGATAAATCTTTTAAAGATTAATTTTTAATTATTCGGTTTTCAATTGAAAATATAATTTGAAAGAATATTTTGATCATTAATTTAATTATAATTATATTCGAAATTGAACCTTATTCTATGAACAAAAAAAAAAGATATTTGCTGATATTACTGAATTTACTAGAAAATTAGTCATTTAATTTGATTTTTTTATTTATTCAAAACTAAGAATCAAATGTTGTAATGATTTTATTATCAATCCTGTCTGGTTCTCAAAATACATAAAAAAATCGATTATTATATTTATACATGCAGACGATCAATCGGAAATAATATATATATATATATATATATATATATATATATATATATACTTATATATACTTATATATACATATTATATAATTATTTACATACTTATTAGACAAATAAATTATTGAAACTGATTTCCTAATGGAACATATGATCTTATAAAAGTCTTAGCCTTGAGTAACTTCAGATATTCGAAAAGGCAATTGAACGAAAGGCATACATAATCGAGCGACGTAACGCGCGTGCGACAAGGGCTATAGGAGGGGATTGCTGAGCAGGAGGATAAAGAAGTAATCGCGCGCGATCGGTCGCGGTGCTCAGTTGGTGGTAGCTCGGGACGAACGGGCGCGTCCACAAAGTGTGGGGTAAGGATGGAGGCTGCGTTAATTGCAACGACCGAGTGATACGCACCGTGTGTATACACGGGGATCGTGTCCTGGATTCGTAGCCCGCATATCCCATCGCGCGTGCCTCCCACCTTCTCCCCCCTGTGTCTGTGCCCGTACTTTTGTGTGCGTGCGTGTCCCTCTAATAGAGTGGTCAATTAGTATCTTGTATAAGGGATAAAACGAGAAAAAAAAATTAGTGAACAAAAAATTAATAGAACAAAAAAAAGCACAACGAACGAGAATATGTCATCCACATAGTCGAGGCAAACGAAGAGAGGAGCAAGTCAAATACGGTGCAGTGGTTACCCTGAATCGTTGGTACGCGCAGCCTTTTGGTGTTGCTGGCTGACTTCATGCTTTGCTATTGCTGTTGCTGCCGCCGCCGTCGAATCGTCACCGACGTTGCTGCAGCAGTTGCTAGCGATGCGAAATGAACGAGAATTTTAAGAAAGAGAAAGATAATGTGTTTTTGAGAGGGAGAGAGAGAGAGGGAGAGAAAGAAACAAATGTAGCCTTTATTGTTCCATCGTCGTCGTCGTCGTTTTCATCGTCGTCATTTTATTGTACAAACCGTTCTTTGTTAATACGCGTTTTCCTATCGTGAATTTTCTAAAAAATGAAAGAAAAAAAGAAAAATAATAAATGTGATGTGCCCGTCGGCCACCAGCCAGCCTTTTATTTTTTTACGCGCTTCATGTGTTCTTTCTTTTTAGGAAGTACTCAAGTAGGACGATTTATCGTCAAGTTCGTGGTCATCTTGGGTGCTCTCAATCGTTCAACATTTTTTCTGGAACTTCATATTGGCTTTATGTACCCTTTTTCACTTGCTTCGTGCACGCACATATTATTGCATGCACTTATATACATTCGTTTCTTACTACCGATATATCTACATGATTATAGCGGTAATTACATTTACCTGCTTGCTTCTTTGCAAGAATTCATTATTCTTTTTTTTTCTAATTTACAATCCTGTTTGATATCGAATCAATGTTTAGCATGTGATATTATCCATTGCAGTTAATATTGTTTTATTGAATATCGCAATGTGGCGTATATCCGATTTGTTTATGTTTTCCATATATGCATTTATATAAGCATTACGTATTTATAATAAAAATGGTTAACAAGGAGAATAATTAAAAAGGAAGATAAAAAATCGAATAAGATGAAAAAGGAAAGAGGTTTAAAAAAAGACAAAAAAAAGGGAAATATCTGAGTAGGATAAAAGAAGGGATAACTAGAACGTGTCACGATAAGAAACAATGAGAAAGAAGAGGGTTTTTCGATTTGTTACATTTGTGTCGGAACTACTTGACCCATTGACAGGTCAAAACGGAAAGGTTCAATGCAGAAGTCTACTCGTTCACTTTAAAAATTTTGACAATTGAAAGGTAAAAATAAAAAATTATTTAAGTAAAAATGTATATAAAAAGTATTTTAACTAAATTAATGTGATCAATTATAATTTTTGTTATAAAATATTCGTAATTTATTCTTTTATATAAAATAATTTTTGTTTTATTTAAGATATTATTTATTTTATTAAGATAATATATATATTTTTTTTGTAATTTTAAAAGTAGTTTAATCTTTTTTTAAGAATTTTTAATTTTTGTACATATTTCAATCAACATCATATTCAACATCATATTTTCATATTTATTGAATCCATGATCATTTTTCTTTTTTTAAATAAAAGTGAAATTTCATTTAATTTTATTTAAGTTTTTAAATAAAAATAAATCGCGATATATTTTATTTTGTTTTATCTTTATAAATGATTCGCTTATATATATATGATGCATGTTATAATTTACTACTATTTTACATATATTTTATATATTAAATAACAATAAAATTATATTTCTTTATATTTTTATAATATATTACGTATTTTTTTTTTTTTGTAGAAAAATAATACAATATTATATCGTATTAAATATTTCAAATTTATATAGATATATTATATCATTCTAATTTTTTTAACTACAAATCTATCTCATTTCATAATAACTATATAAAAATTAATGTTAATATTTATTAGTTTATTAGTAGCTAATTGTAAATTCCAAAGTTAAAAGATATTTAACAAATATATCATTTATTACTATTTGTTTTCAATAAGCAAAAGTATTTAAATAAATTTTCCGTATAATACGTAAATATCGCTGTAAATAAAACGCTTTTTATGTGCTTTATGCTAGAATACTTAGAATATTAGTAGAATTAGAATGACGGCCGCCAATAGTGGGCGGATATCCGTCATGTTTCTTGCCTTTACAGACAAAAAAAACAGGAAGACGATGCAAAGGAATCTAAGCTCGTAACAGAAAGAACGCCTGGCCCGAAGGCGTTAAACCGGGAAGAGTATAATCAGGGCGCGAAGCGATGTACGCAGCTGCGGGTGGCGCCAGTATAGCGAATAGGAGGAAGCAGAAACGATTGCAGTTAAACAGACGCGTCGCTGAGAGTACAATTCCATCACGGTTGAAGACAATTCCAGCTTCTCAGCACCACTACCACCACCAACACCATCACCCCAGCAAGTTTGCTCGTCCGCACGTTGTTCCACCATCTTCCACACCACAGCCACAACCACCGTCATCTACATTTCATCCGAGCATCGATCGACGGCGTCATGTCGAGAAGTGTCAGCAAGTTGCACCTGTTTCTCCAATCCAGTTTCCAATATCGCCACCACCACTATCCCTTGAGTCACCTAGTTCAGTTACTTGTGCCACTAAATCTAATTTTCCTTTTCCACCAACATCGATCCTCGATCTCCGAGTTTCACCATCTTCTTCAGAGCTACAGGTGGGTAGATTGTTTAACAGTAATTTTTTATAAATTGCTCTAAGGTCGTTTTATTATTTTTATCTTTTAGCTCTATTTCTCTTCTTTCTCTATCACACTAGTTGCTCTTGCTAGGTAACCCTATCACATACTTATATGCAATTTCCTTATTCAAGTATTTCAATAATCCTCGTTGCACTTTGCACCTTCTTCTTGCTGGCACACCTTTACTTATTAGGAATACACCATCGATCGGCTGTCTGGTGGCGTATAAACCCGCGATAACTCATCCTCAAGCGGCTCCAGGTTCGTCAGCTGCTTATCCAAACTAAATTGTAATTTTTAGTAATTAACATGTCCCTCCTGGTTCCTATCAGCGGATACAAACATCACCTAATGTTGGAGGCAGACAGTGCAATGTTAGGAGTAAGTTGTAGTGTCTGGTATCAATCACAATTGGGAGACCTTTGAGAAGAAACTTGTGTGATTTTTTTGATTTTTGATTGGGCAAACAAAAAATAAGGGAAAAAGTTAAAATTTTACTGTGTAAAAAGTGGAAAGGAGAAAGAGAAGGAGGGGAAGGAGCAGGACGGTCGAGATCTTAAGGATCAATGAAACAGGCAAATGAATGAGCGGAATGCAGGCTGCTTTATTGATTAGAAGGGAGAAGCAACGGTTACGGGGGGGTAAGGTGGTGAACTTTAGAGATTTACCCTCCAACTTGGCCACCAGACTTATTCCGCCGCTTCCACGATATCCCCCACGATCATATGTTTATGGGGTAAGTATTAAAATCATTTTAATATCATCAACAGTAACTATTGGCATCAGAGGGTAACTGTCGCTTCTCTAGCTAATTATATGTGCATTAACCTTCTATAGCTCTTGAAAAAAAATTATATTGTGTAGTGATGTTTGTCCCTTTATTACTTTCTCTTATCATAGAACTAATAAATTCCTTATATTATTGTGCACTAATTTTTGTTTATACTTAAAAAAATATAATTGCTGATGATATGAATTCAGAGAAAAGAGAGAAAGAGTTTGAAAATAAATTTAAAATTTAAAATATTTTAATATTTTGTTATTCTAATTTAAGATATTAACACGTACTTCAATAAAATAAAACTACTAAATAATTATTTGATATTCATCTTATAGAAATATTTTAAAGAAGTTTCTCAAAAATACATAATAATAATTTTAAAATATATAATATAAGTGCAAAAAATTGTAATTCTTACAATATGCACTATACTATATACTTAAAGATTAATAACTGCTACTAATTATGTTTAATCAATTCTTTGTTGTCAATTAGAATGCAATGATTACAGTGTACTTGTGTAGACAAGTTCTACGATACATGTACGTATAAAATATTTATACACATCTCAATTGGTTCCATTTATGCAAATTTTTCTATGTTCTATTTAGTAAATGCATGCATGTTTTTTATCTTATGTGCTGAGTAACGAGGACAAAAATCATTAATTAAATTTTTCTAATAATAGTAACAAATGATAGATGTTTATTTCAATGAACATGCTTGAAATGATAGAGAAAGATGTAAAGAACATAATAATAATATTATTGATTTCAAGTTTTATATTTATTTATATTTTATACAATAGTATAAATATTTATAATTATAGATTAAGAAAAATGTTAAAAAGTATTTAATATATTAGATTGTTGACAATTTTATTATATCAAAATACAATAGATACTGAAGCATTGAATGATTTTTAATTGTAGTTATTAGAAAATTTTATAAAGATAATACCTGAACAGAAAATAATTTCAGTGTGGTGGAGGACCTGGCAAAGCAGCATGGCAAGGTTGCAGCAGACCTTCTCCCCTTCCTTTATCTCCTATGTCGCCTCACGCATGTCGTGGGGATGGCTACAAGACAAAGCAATGCGAGGCTCATCGACGATGGATGAAGAGAAACAGAGTAAATAAGTATCTGTTTTTATAATGCAATTTAAGATCAAAATTTTTAATTTATAATATTATAGAAAATAATTGATTTATGAATATTTATTAAATAATTTTATTTAATATTATGTTAAAATGTGCTGTAAATATAAAATACGAAATTCAATAATATCCATCGTTTTTAGATAAGAGATGCAAGCTATTGCTATGGAAGCAGTGGAGAAGATGACGAAGAAGATGGAAGCAGTAATGCAAACCGTCGTAGAGGTGAAGTTAGCGCGGCAGTGAATACTGTACTTTATGCGGGGCTAGGAACTACAGCGCTCGGATTAGTTATATCGTTTGTCGGCACTGGAGAGAAAGGATTCCTCAGTCCAGAATTGAGGCTGGTGGGTCCTTCACTACTGTGCGCCGGTTTACTGTGTTGTCTATTTCGGGTGCTGCTCTGCCTCTGTTTATGTCGTTGCGGTCAATGCCGCTGGCGATTTTGTCATGTTGCTTCTGATAAAAAAGAAAAAGTGAGGAAAACAGAAGCTCGACCTGCTGGAACATTACCTACCGCTTCACTTTTATCACCAACTCGTCAACGACAGCAACAACAACAATCGGCCATGTCTTCAAGTGGCGCTGCATCATCATCAACAAAAGCACATGAGCTCTTGCTCTCTCCTGCCCAATTACCAGAGTGAAAACGTGTTTCGAACATTTTCTACGAGAATCTATACGCCGATTAACTGCCGGTTCTTGTCCAATATAGAATATTTTATTTCCATTTGACCTGAACCGTTTTCGCAAACAAAAAGAAGAAAACCATCACAGCCTAATTCTAGTTTAAATGCGAATTCTAGCGCTTAAAAGTAATAGTTAAAGAAATAATCGGCTATGTTTTTCTACCCCTACTGTGTTTGAAAAAGTATAAAAAAAAAAAATAATTATCAATGAGCTTTTGGATTGCTTCCTGCTTTATTTCCTCCCATATTTTTATTTTTTTTACAAGGATTGCTTAAAGTTAAGTCACTTTCTTTTCAAAATATTTAAGAACATTTATGTTGTTCTATTCTTATAATTATCAGTTTATCATTAAACTGATTTTACAGTCTTACAAAATGCAATCTTACATGAATAAGATATATGTATAGTTGACATAGTTGCATTGTAAATTGCATTTTAAGTTAAATAATTTATATTAATATCATTTTAATATACAGTGATCAAGAAAGTTGAAATTGCATTTGATCAGTGGACGTGTAACTATATATAACAGGTGTATCAGAAGTGGTAGCACTAGATGCAGTTGCAGCAATAGCAAATAACTGATCTTCATATATAGTTCCTTGTGGTTCAGTTTTTCCATTGCCTGTTGTTGGAACATTACCTGGATTGTCTCCTTTTGTTGCTTCTCTATATTTTTGTAGATATACTTTTAGTGGTTCTACATAATTGTCAAAACCAAGAGTTGTCATAGCAAATAGAATATCTTCACCATTAATAGTTTTTCGTTTTTCCATATGACATCGATCACTTGCTTCTGATGTGATAAAAGATATAAATTCGGATACACATTCTTGAACACATTCGCGTGCATCTTTTGCTATTTTTCCTGCTTCTGGTATTGCTCTTTTCATAATTTTTGCTACATTTGCTATTGGAAGGAATCGATCTTGTTCACGAAGAGGCCCTCCAACATTGCCACTTCCAGCTCCTTGCAAAGGATCACTTGCCCCATGATTTGAATCATCTGTATTTTCAGGATCATCTAAAAAATATATATATATATACTATAAATTTTACATAATTTCGTATCAATATGAGATGAATATTTATTTTATATTGATCGATATATTATAAAATCTTATAATACTTCAAATCTTAGAATAGAAATATATTGAAATTACAAATAATAAAATATATATATTTTTTTTTCTATATAAAAACGATTTATTACAAATTTGATTTCATAATATTAAATATAAATACAATTTTTAATTTGTTTTAAAAATTTTTCAAAATATTATTAACCTACCTTCCATATCGTCAGATTGTACACTGATATACGATGCAGAAACACCACCTCCTCCAAGAAACGCAGTCGGGCCTAAAGGTCCTCCATCATCACCACTTTCACCACTATTTTCCATCTCCAGTTTGATACACTAAACACACAGTATAAAAATTTTAATTTCCTTAACCTGTTTATAGCTTTGTTTTCACAATATTTTATTACATTTTTTGGCATAAACAACCTTATCAATAGACATCGATAACACACGCTTTTAGCGAGATTTTCTTAGTACAACTGGTGCCCTCGCACTAAACGAAAATATTAAATTTGTAACCTAAATACTAATAATCAGTTTTTTTTAAATTTTTATACTAGTCATATGATTTACAATGTTTCCTTTCTTTTTTTAATAAAACCTATAGTTTCTATCTATTATGCTAGGTAAAATGCAAAAGAATAAACAAAAACAAACGAAACATTTAGGCAGATTCGTAAAAAGAACAAGAATTAAAGCATAATTTACAAATCTGTATCTAAACGACCCTCCTGAATAGAATAATAATAATCGATGTTTCGCCGTGTGTGAGCATAAATGTGCAACAAGTAAGTTTATTTAAAGCTATTGATATGGCCATGTCTAGCATTTTATTAATGCGTAAAGGTCTTTCAGTAAATGGTAAGCGTATTTTCTTTATTTGTAACATATGCCAATCACAATTCATATGCATATCATTTTCATCTTGACATTCGTTACTGAAATTTGAAAATAAATTATTTAATTTATAAATAAAATATTATAAGTTGTACAATATATTTGATGATTGCATTTGTTTACGCAAGTTTTATATTATATATTTTTCGTTGACAATGAATATATATGGTTTTGTTTATAATATAATACGATCGCATAAGTAAGACATAATCTTTTTTAATATCGTTGTAACTATGCAATCTATTTTATTTTAGATATTCATTTTAAAATAACACGTAATTTTGTGTATTTAGTGATATTTTGTTTATTTATGAAAATATTATTAAATACGCTAAAAGAAGAGGTTATGTTTTACTATATTTTATAAAGCTATTTATGTGATAAATTATTCAAGTGAAAAATGACAGAACTACAAGAAGATTTTACAAAGACATTTATTAAAAAATTAACAAATGATTTAAAAAAAAATAAATTCAAAGAAGTTTTGAATCTCTTTGAGGATAGTAAATATGATGATATTATTAAAGACTCTTCATGGGATATTGTTCCAATTGTAGCATCGCATCTTACTGCAGAAAACATAAAATGCAACGAAGATTTAATTGAATGTTGTAAAACAATTTTAAATACTATAGTAGAAAAATGTAATCCTTCTGAGACAGTATTAGAACTATTAGAACAAATAGAAGGTCCAGAGGATGTCATAAAATTTTCTATAATTCTAAGTATACTTACTAAATGTCTTTCTAAGATGAAGGATAAAACGAAGGCAATAGAATGGTGTATTAGTACAATAAGATCTTATATTGAAAGTCTACCTATACCAGAAAAAGGATCACAAAACTATATTGCTATTATAAATAAAATAAAAAATGCTTATGATGCAGTTATATTATTTTTAGAACCATTAATAAATGAATCAAAGTTACAGAATTCAGAAAAATATATCATATTAAGAGATTATTTAGCTAGCATTTTAATTTTTTTAATGGGAAAGCCATTATATTATTTAGAAGAGAAAGAAGTAGAATCTTGTTTAAATCAATCTTTACCTGAGAGAATTGTAACACTTACAAGTCATATAACTGGAGATTTGCTATGGCTTTTAAATATTGTAAGTGTACGAAATAGAAAGATCAATTCTAGGAAAAAAAATATAGAAGTAAACAATTTTAATCTTAAAATAACACTTTTTGAATTAAGTGAGAATATATCAGATTTGGCATATGCTAACTTTTATTTTTATGTTATAACAAAAATTCATTTGTGGGAAAGGGTGCCACAGGTATATGATATGCAATATATTTTTCAAGCATGTATATATTTTATTATTAAATTATTACAAGAACAAGAAAGTGTTACAAAAGGTTTAAATTTTATGGATCATCTTTTAATGAGAATAACAAAATATTCTTTAACATTACCATTATTAGAATTGAATATATATTTTGAGTTGTTTAATGTACTTACAAAAGTAATGATTTATTGCAATAGTGATAAAGAAAGGAAAAAAGCTTTAAATATATTTCAAAACTATATTGATATGTTTGATATGCAAGCTAGGTATTTTGTTGTTTTGCATTTATATCAAACTAGTGAGCATTCAGGTTTACTTAGTTTAACTACTGGAATAGTTAAAACTTCTATTATTGAATGTCTTCAAGAAACACCTCATCTACCATATTTTCTTGGTAATAATCTGGAAACTTTAATCAAATTAGCTTGTAAATTACATCATGGTAGTGCATCTGATTTGGTGGAATTATCTGATGAAATAATTACGAGTTTAAATTTGTTGAGATTTCTATTTATAAAAGATAAGCAAAATCAAACTGGTATTTGGAACTTAGTAAATAAACTACAAAATGATTATTTAAAACCATTAAGAGAAGGATTAGATCTATGTAGAGCACATTGGAAAGTAAAAATAAAAGATTTAGAAGAACAAAAGAAAATTCACAAAATAATTGAAAATGTAGAATTAGAAAAAAGTGGTACAGAAATAATATTAAATGTTGGTGGTGAAAAATTACCTCCAATGCCTATTTCAGAAAAAATTTCATTTTGTAATCAAGCAATAAATGGTCTTGATGTGATGGAAAGCATTTTAATTAGAGTCAATGAATGTATTGATAATAATTCTTTTAAATGACATAATAATTATATGTGTGATTATAATAATCACATAATATCTTTATAGTATCAAAATAAAAATTGTACATTTATAAAATGTATATCATTCACTGTTTAATAAAATCATACTTCATTTATATTTTATGTATTTTGACTGTATCCTATCATTTATTGTTTTATGAAATCATATTTCTTGAAAAGAAAATTTAAAAAATTTTGATTTTAATAGGTTTTAGAAGTTTATGGACTTGTAGAGTTTTATTCAATGATCAAACTAAAAATGATACACAAAAATCAAATCAGAAATATAGAAATAATGAAAGTGAAGAAGAATACGAAAAAAATATCAAATTAAAAATTCTCGAGGCATCTTTAAAATATGTTCATGATCTAGGATGGAGTCATAAAGCCATCAGTGCTGGTAATTTGTAATAATTTTTCAGTTAAGTAGATGAGTCAGAATCAAGTCTTTATATGAGTGAATAAATATATTTTAAATGTATTACATGTTTACTAATTAACATGTTTACTGATTGCTTTCAGTTTTAATTTGAAAACAATAATTTCATATTATTAGTATATAATGCAGATAATAAATAAAAATATTTAATTTAATTATTAAAAGTTATATACCAAAGGTGCTGAGTCTATTGGGTATCCTGGGATAATTCATGGATTATTCCCTAATCGAGGAGCAGATTTGGTTCACTATTTCTACTTAACATGCAATAAAGAATTGAATAACATCCTTAAAGAGCAAACTTTTGCAAATCAAGAAAATCCTAAAGAAACAAAAACACTACTATTAGAAGCACGTAATGCTGTTGAGACAAGGCTTAGAATGGTGATTCCTTATAAAAAAATATGGCCACAAGCTTTAGCTCTCATGTCTCTTCCACCTAATGTACCAATGTCATTAGCTAATTTACTTACTTTAGTAGATGATATTTGCTATTATGCTGGTGATAGATCAGTTGATGTAAGAATATGTTTATTTTTATATATATAGTTTTATTTTTCAAATATACTAATAATAAAAAATATAAATATACTTTAAAATGTTTTATTGAAATTTATTTGAATTAGATAAACTGGTATACTAGAAGAATAGTACTAGCAGGTATTTATAAAACTACGGAATTGTACATGATACAAGATAATAGTGAAGATCATCAAAAAACTTGGCATTTTTTGGATAGACGAATTAAAGATGCTACACAAATTCAAATGATTCTAACAACAACTTCTGATATGGCTTTACCAGATCAAGCCTTAAATCGTGCTACTGAAGCTGCAACTGCTGCTTTTGTTACAGTAAGTATTTAAAATTTTAAATATCATCTAATCTAATATCAAATAAAATAATTATATACCAAATAAAGTACTAAATATTTTTATTTTCAACAGGCACGCAATATACTTGGATTGAATTGGAATAGGTAGAAAAAAAATAATTAATATTATTTATTATTATATAATACTTTATGGTATTAATTATTACTAGATCACTAAAATAAAAGCACGGAATATAAATTCATTTGTTATAAATGAAAATTTATCAAAAGAATTTATGTACAGAGTTTATTTAGCAGTGGTATTTAAAAAAAAATAACATTAAAGGGAATTAATAATCATGGCTAATTTATTTTGATATCATATTTTAACAAGATCTGTACATTTGAGACTGAATTTAATATATGCGATTTATTTTTGTGCAAGATAGAAAGATATAAACTGTTAGAAATATAGATTTAATAATATTTAACAATTACCCTGCAATATTGTCATAATTAAAATAATATATTCTTATGTTTTATACAAAATTATGTTAAATCTCCATTGAAAGAGATTAATTTCCATTCTTACTATTCAATTGAGCAGGAGATTATTTTATTATAAAAAATGTATGTACAAACACACCACACAGCCAAGTACTTCATGAATTGTTTAAACTTTGAATTACATTAAAATATATAATAATTATATATAGTTTATGATGAAATAATTCATGCAAAAGATTATCTACTATAAACTATCATTTACATATTGTTCATTATCATTGATTGATATAATTACATGTAATATATTAATCAATTTTCATAAAATTGAAAATCTTGATAACTTTAAAAATGAAGATCTCAATTTTTATAAAAAGATGATCATATCTAATCTATCATTTTTTAGAAATAGATTTCTTTGAAAAAAATATTGCTTTACAATATAAAAGATAAAATGTTTAAAAACTTATGTTATCAATATTATAGTATATTTTATACTATAACAAGTATTTTTCAAAAAACCAATATTAATAATGTGCTTCTTCAATATAACCTTTGATTGTTTTTGGTAAAGGCAACTTATGAATATTATCTAATCTAGTATTTTGACGTATAACAAAACGACAAAGATATTGCAAACTTCGAACTTGGGTAAATCTGCTTACTGGCTTTGTTAATCTAACTGGAAAAGATGGATGACCAGGATATTTAGGTCGTGAATAGCAAAAGACTGCAGACTGACTAAAATTCATTGAATAATCAATTAAATCAGCTACTGAACTAAATCCTTCACTTTCACTTTGGTTGCATAAAGAAAATAAACCACCACTATGTTCCATACGAGCATGAAGTAACTTGCCAGATGATTTAAAGCTAAGTGTTAGGACATATCTGTAAAAAAATAAATATTAAAATATTTCATATGCTCTTTGCAATGATATTTTAAAATTACAAAGAAAAAAAGGAAGTAGAAAAAATAACCTGTCATCTGAAGAGTCCCTTACTAAAAATGCACCATCTGGTTCAGATAGAAGTTTGGCATCAGCTTCATTTCCTGATATTGGACCCCAATACCATCCATAATTACTTAATTTAAGCAATTCTTCTGTAAGACTTGCTTTTATTTTATTATCATTATTTCTATTAGTCTCTGTACTTTCTGTAATTCTTTCAACTTGATGTGTTATTGCATTATTTTCTATTATTGTTCTCGATTCTAATTGCTCTATTTTATTACTAGAACATGATCGAAATATGTTAGAAATATTTTCATGATTAATATCTGTTTGGAACTTATTAATAATTTGTTCATTAATATCTTCTAATTTTTCAATATCTCTATAATCTTTTATAATTTTATTTAAATCTTCTGAAATATATTGATTTTGTGATATTTCTATATCTATATCTGTCAAAGTTTCATTGCTATTTAGAATATCAGAATTTTTAACAATGTCTTCACATTTTAATTCAGAAACATTATTTTCTTCTGTAGAAATTGTAGATTTATTGTTTTGAAATGCTGATAGATCATAATTCGTATCATTTTGTAGGCTAGATGTTTCAACTTCTTTCGTCTGTAAAAATATATAATATTTTTGTTATATATAAAACAAAAATATTTTTATCCAAATTATTGTTACTTACTCTTTGTTTTGATTTATGTGTCAACTTTTTGATTTGCATATGTTTCTTAATATTCTTAAAAAAATCGAAAGATGTTTTATGAAAAAACGTATTTTTTGCTTTACTTTCAATGATTTTTACTTCTATCAAATCTTCTTTTTTTTTTTGGTTCTCTTCCTTTTTTAATACGTTCTTACGTCGTGAATCACGCCACCAAAGAAAATCAAATGTTCTAGCGTTTAACTTCTGTGGTTTCAAATCTTGATTTGATATTTTTGTTGTATTTGTTGGTGCAGTCATGATAAATTCCTCTGACGTTTGACTTATCATATTCAAATGTTGTGCGACCCTTCAAACTGGCTCTAAGTTGAAGAAAGGGTTCACTTGCACTATCTTATCAAAAATTATTTCACACGCCATCTATTCCTTAACTTCTTTTTTTTTCACAATTATTACTTTTTCTTACAAATTTATAAAACTTTATTATAATTCGCCGCATAACGATTACTTTTTTAAATTAATTTTACACTGATATTCTATTTAAGTGTTTTTGTATACTTCGTAAATTTGTTCCAAATTATCCCCTGCTGCTTCAAAAATATATTATTCCACTAACTTCAGTTAAAAAGTTCCTATTAACTATATCATTATTGGTTAAAGTGTCCCTTACCAATGTACGTACCATTAATTTTCTAGAAAGAAAAAACTAAAGCAATTGCTAGTTGGTTTATAAGCATTTCTATAATTTTTAAAATATTTTATTTTATTAATCACGTTATCAGAATTTATTTCAAGTATAGATATATTCTATAACGAAATAACGTAAAGTTTATTGAAAATGAAAGAAAAAACTTTTTTGTCATTGTCCCATTTAACCTCAAATGCATTATTCTTAATAATTAAAAAGATTATAAATTAAGAATAAGTTTTTCATGTTTTGATTAATTAAATATCAAATATTGAATATCATAAAAATGAGTGATTCTGAAGATGAAAATTATGTTACATTTGGAGTACCTCTTGATCCATTAGACGAAGGTAAATAAAAAATTTCAGCAGATATAAACAATTATTATATATTATTACACATATTTTCACATGATTATTGTAGATAATTTACCGAGAAAAAAACCAATGACAATTGAAGATCAATATGCATATGATGCACAAGGAAGACGTAGATTTCATGGTGCATTTACAGGTGGTTTTTCTGCTGGATATTTTAATACAGTAGGCACAAGAGATGGTTGGAGACCACAACAATTCAAATCTTCCAGAAGTAGTAAAGCAGAAAGTATAACGCAGCGTCCAGAAGATTTTATGGATGAAGAAGATACAAGTGAATTTGGAATTGCACCAACAGGAATTCGTGCTACAGAGGATTATGTTGATCATGGTCAAAGAGGAACAAAACGTGAGAGACCTATTTATGATAGCAATGGTCCTATTCCTGGCACTCCAGTATTAAAAGAACTTTTAAAACCTGTAAAGTAAATATCTTTGCTATATAAGAAGTTCAAATTAAATAATTTAATAAACTCCAAATTATTAATAATGATGATTTGTTATAATAGAGAAACAGTTGGTATTATGTTATTAAAAAAAATGGGATGGAGACCAGGACAAGGTATAGGATCAAGACTTACAAAAAAAGAAAAAGCTAAAATTAAAAAAAGAAATGAAAAAATGAAAAATATACAACAAATATCTAGAA